AGTTATGAGAGACAGAAGCACCTCCAGAGGTCACTACCAGAGACCCGAAGCATCTGCCTGTTCTTTCAAAGATGATGGACAGCTCAGCAGTAGTCCTTCCTGGGTGGGAGCAACTCACTAACTCCGTCTGCCCTGTTACAATTCCCACTCTCAGGCTGAGAAGTAGATTCGTGGGTGGGTGTCCTGAGATCCCGACTCTCACTGGGGCTAAGAGTTCACGTCTACAGCGTTGGGAAAGGGTCTCCACATGCTAGGTAAATGCTCCTGACCAAGCCATGGCCCAGCTCCTCCCTGGGGGACTCTAAAGCCAAGCCTTTGGCTTAGACTAAAATGGCAGTGTGCTCGGCTCTTGGTCTTGCCCTTGGATCCTTTTAGTTCAATTTGAAAAGTTCAAACAGTCTCATGCAGGAAAAACTTACTTGTCATCTCTCTTCAGGAAGATACCAACATAGGGCTGCGCCAGGCGGACTTTCCTCCTCAGGAGCTCAACCAGCTTCTTATTTTTAACCTGCAGGAGAATGAGTGAGGCACCAGTCAGGGCCACTGGCAAAAATGCTTACTGCAAAGCCACAGCTCCACCAACGTCACACCATGGAGTGAGCTGAGGCAGGAGGCCCTGGAGTCTGAGGTGGCTTCCTTCCAGCCTTGAGCACCACTTTCTAGTTACCCTGATCTCAGTGACTGACTCCTCCCACCCCCTTAGCAGCTGTCATGGTGCACAGCAGAGACAGGGAGACCTCTCTGAGTTCGAGGAAAGCCTGGTCTACAGCATGAGGTCCAGGACAGCCAGGGCTGCACAGAGAAACTGTTTCAACAAAAAACAGAAGCAGTGGGGCTGGAGAGGTGGCCTGGTCGTTAAGAACACTTGTTCTTGTGGGTGGCTCGAGTTCAACTCTCAGAACCCACAGAGAGGCTCCCAATCATCCCTAACTCAAGTTTCAAGGAACCCGACACTCTTTTGAACTCTACAGGCACTAAGCACACACCTGCCTGTATATGCAAAATACTCATATACATAAACTCAATGTAAACACACACAGCTCTCTGAGGATGGCTGTCACCTGAGCCACTGCCCCACTGTCACTCCATAGTTTAGCACGCACCATGGAGCTGACACTAATTTGGAACTCAAGGTGATCCTCTTGCCTTAGTTCAGGATTTACAGGGACAAGTTTCCAATATAGAAAGGCTGGGGAGAGGGGTCCCAACACCCTTCATCTGTGTGGGGCTCTTGTTTGTCTGAGACAGGGTCTCCTGCTGGAGTACAGGTTGGCTTGAACTCATGACAATCCTAATCCATCCTCCACTGTGAAGGGATTAGACAGTCAGCACCACCTACTTCCAGTTTAGGTGGGGTTTTGTCATTTGAGATAGGGTCTGTGGTATTTGAATGAGAATGGCCCTACAGGTTCATTTATTTGAATGTTTGGTCTCAGTTATAGGAACTGTTTAGGAAGGCTTGGGAGGTGTGGCCTTTGTTGGATGTCTGCCACTGGGGGTGGGCTTTGAGGTTTCAAAAGTCCATACCAGGCTGTCTCTCTCTGTCTGCAACTTGTGGTGGATCAGAAGCAAGTTCTCGGTCACTGTTCCAATGCCATGCCTGCCTGGCAACACCTTCGCCACCTTGATGCTCACAAACTACCATATTAAACTGTAAGCAAGCCACTGATTAAATACTTTAAGTTGCCTTGGTCACAGTGTCTCCTCACGGCAATAGATGGTAACTAAAACAGTGGCTCATGTAGCCAAGAGTAACTCTGAGCCACCGATGCTCCTCCTTCCACCTAAGCACTGGGATGACACATCGTTTGTGTGATGTGGGGGCCATCACCTCATGCACGCTAAGTGAGCATTGCACCCAGAACCCCGGCAGCCCGAGCCACCCCTGTACAATCCCTGGCTGAGGAGAGCCCTTAAGCCTGGCAGCTGCAGACATGAAAACTGAGTCTTGGTAACAGATCCATTCACTGGCCCCCAGGAGCCAGCTGTAGTTCTCTGATGGAAGCTGATGGCTGGTCATTTATGAGGTGATGACATCAGAAAGCCACATGCCAGTGTCTCAAGGCCACGCCCTTGAAGGCTAGCTGTGTGTGGCAGACAGCAGAAGTGTCTCTTTGCCCTGCTCCTGGAAGCCGAGGAGTAATGGGAATCCAGAAGGGACCTCCAGTGCAGTCCTGCAGGATCAGAACCCTCCAGGCATGGCTAGTCCTACAAGGGTCACAGGAACTGTGTCTGGGACTGCATCTAAGCGGCAAACCAGAGGCTCATTACTCAGTCACTCAGGGGACTATGAGGATATCTGTGACCCCAGAGCCGGGATGGTGTAGAGGGCCAGAGGACCAGGAGCTCAAGGACAACTTCAACTATATAGCAAGTTTGAGGTTAGCCTAGGACACATGATATCCTGCCTCAACCAAAACAAAAAAGTCAGTACACATAGGTCTATGTGTGACTTCCACCACAGCTCCCTGACTCAGAGAGAGGAGTGTCTATTATGTCCATTTCCCAGATGAGGGGAAAAAAAGGCCATCAGGAGCAACCTGCAGATAGGTAACGGTGCCACGTCACCTTATAGGGTTGGCTGGAAAGTGTGTGTGTCCTTCTACCAAATGGGCAACATGAATGAAGGGCCTTGGAAACATGGGAGAGGAGGTAGGTGGAGGAGCGGCCTCTGAGACTCCCTCATCTACACTGCTGAGGGGCATCTGTGGTGTGAATATGGCAATGACTCATTGTTTGACCTTGGTACTAGGCTAACTGATAACCACTGGCCTCCCTGGACTTGGATTTCCAAGTTTAAAAGAAAAATAAAACATAAAGGCAGTGGGGTAGGCAGCTGATTAGGAAATTCCTTACTTTTAAATGTCTCTGCTTTCCGGTGATTTCATCATCCTGCTCTCTCTCCCTGCCTCAAGGCTGAGCTGGGATCAGCTTCCTGCACTGGAATTTTCCTCCCTTAAGTATGGCTGTTCTTTCTTCTTCAGCATGGATATGAGGTGGATGTCAGGGACACTGCTGAAATGCTGTCCTTTTCTTCTTCCTTTGGTATGCCTCTCAAATGTCAGTCATTCCCGCTTTCTCCTACTCCTAGTAAAAAGGCTCCAAGGCCTGAAACTTTTTATCTCACAACTGTGCCAGATACAAAGTAACTACGGGAGTAAAAACTTAAAGACACTTGCTGGCTTGGGCTACTGGAGACCCTGTCTCAAGACAGAAGATAAATAGACTCTCTCAATAAACAACAGATGATTGCACAAGGGAGGCTCAGAAAGTGGTACAAAATGTTCGCCAAGATGGAAGGAAAAGAACTGTAGTCTGCTGCTAGTCGGCCTGGGATTTCTATCACCGGGGGTCCTAGATTCACGGACCCAAAGCCCACTGTACTGAAGGAACCGAATAGGGAAGAATGTCCAAACGAGCCACCAAGGACTCTGGCATCCTCCTGCCTCAGATTCCCGAGTAGTGACGGCCGGGCGCGGCGCTCTCTTTACCTCCACGATCTTTATAAAGCGCGGGAATACCGGGTTGCGGGTGATGGCGATGAGCGGCAGGTGCGGAAACACATCCGGGACGGTCATGGGTGCG